CACCCAGTGCAGGTGCATGACCCAGCAACTGCCTTTACCCATACTGCACTGTGTGGGCCTTCCAGGTGGTAGTCTACACAACCCTGCTTCTGTTCTACTTACCTTAAACACAAACCAGTTTGTCCACCCTACCGCCTCTGTGTCTTTCCCACATTAGTGCGTTAGTTCTAGGACCATTTGTTACCTTGCAGTTCCAGATGAGACCCAGAGGATTCCAGGCCATGCCTGGGTAGCGAGGCTGAAGACGATAGCAAATACTGCTGGATGCAGAATATGATGATTTAAATTTTGTTTTCCTCTCATCCTCCTTTCTGCCACATTGCCTGAGGGAGTCAGGGAAGAATCAAAGCTGTGGTGTTAACACTTGCAGTGCCGCGCAGAATTCTAACGGTACTGAAAAGGAGAAAATCAGCCAGCAGGCCACAAACGCAGACACAATAGCAGTGTATTCCCAGGGCTAACCTGCCAAAGACATCATGCTTGTGTTCCAGTCCATGGGCCAGCAGGAAGGCTGGCTTTGCTGGGTCCAAACATAACCCCTCAACCTCTTTCAGGACCTCCAAGAGTCCTGCCATAGAATATATAATTACGTTGACTTAGAAGAGTTAAATTTCAGAGAAATCTGGCTGAAAAAACTTGGGTATCAATTTCTTTTGCTTCTAAAACTGATCCAACTATCCTGCTCGTGGCTACTCACAGCTCGTAGCATATCACCTTTTCTGTTCCTCTCTCCCAGCCTCACCAAACAAACAGAAGACAAAAATGCTTGGTTCTGTATTCTGACAAACCCCTGAGTTTGCTGAACCTCAGGGCTCAGTAAAGAAAAGTAACTTCTCACAGATCACCCTGTCTAAAGCCAACAAAGACAAAGTGGAAAAAATGATGTCCTAACACATCAGGTGGTTTGGTCTGGGCCCTGCTGTTTCCTCAGCTCATCCAGTCAGTTGAGGCATTTGTCAGACACCAAGGTGAAGCTCTGTAAGAACCGTGCAGGGTTTATAGACATAGAAGCCTACGGGAGATACCTTGGTGTAGAAGCTTCTGGCTTGAGCCACTGCATGTATGGTGAGGTAAAAGGAAGTGTGCTAGAGAAACCCAGTCGGGCGAGCACCCTCCCATTTGTGACAGTCTCTGCCGGGAGACTCAGTGGTTTGGAAGCCGCTCAATTGTAAGAGGCAGGTGTCGTACTGAAATACCACTGCAAGACAAACTTCCGGGTGTCCCAGTGAGCTCAGTTTAGTTTGATGTAGAGAACCAGGAGGAAGTGGTCCTGCAAGCCTTTCAGCCTGGAAAACTCATAGCCAGAAGCATGAAGGTACCTTCCTGGGTTTTTTCCCACGTCTTGCTGTGGGGGACATCCTGGAAATTTGACTCTTGGAACTTGAGCCTGATAGCCTTTCTGCACTCCTTCATCCAATGCTGGGGACCTGAGATGGTGTGAAACAGGAAACTTTGAGGGACCTTTCAGAACTTCTAAGCCAGGCAGCCTTTGAGAACAGAGATGGCCACTTCCCAGGCCCATCAGCAGTTCCAATTTCTTTCTTCTGTTTCTCTCCTTCAGGGAGTCTTAGAACCAAGTCCTTCCTCAAGGTTTATCTGCACTGTGGGATCTATTCAAGCACTGGGTTGAGACCTTTGGGTGACTTGTAGTTCGGGCAGGTTCTAGTCCCAAAGGGGGCAGACTTCCCAGTCTCTTGTTCAGTTTGCAGCTCTCAGCTTATGGGTGCAAGTTAGTTTTCTCCTTCCTCCTTTATCCACGGATCGAACCTAGGTCTCACAACTTGTAATACAAGCACCTTTACCGACACCTACACTGCTTTACTGGCCTCTAGCTGGTTTTTGATTAGACACTTTTCCCAATGGAGGAAGTAGGAAAACACAGGATGTTCTCCCTCGTCCCAACCATGGTGACCTTTCTCTACTTCACCACTAACTCTTGGGAACATGCTCCCACTTCTCACTATCTTGAAAGCTTCATCATGAAGGTGGGTGCTGGGGTGCTGGGGAGCTGGGGAAGTGGCTCGTGTTTTTCTACACAAGCGTGAAGACCCAGATCCAGATCCTTAACACCCATATGAAAGATACAGTGTGTATCTGTAAGCCCAGAGCTGAGATGCAGGGGAAATATTAGGTACCCAAAGTCGCTGCCATTCAGGCTTGCAAAACTGGTGAGTTCTAGGTTTAGTGAGAGATACTTTCTTTAAAAAAAGAAAAAAAAAGGTGTGCAGCTGAGGAAGATAACTATATTGACCTCTGGCCCCCATATGCACACACATGTGCGCGCACACACACACACATGTGCACACACACACACACACAGAAGAACAGAAAGGAGAGCAGGAGGAGAGGACAATCGATCGTGATGGTGTGAGCCTCTAAACCTGGAACTCATGAGGCAGGGTAGGAAGATCTCAAGTTTGAGGATAGCTGGGCAACAGAGTGAGACCCTGTGTAACAGAAGAAAGAAGGGGACAGAAGGGAGGGAGAAAAGGATGGAGATGGGGGAGAGGCAGAAAGAGCAAAGCTGGTTATGCCATTTGTGGGGACAGGGCCAGGGGAAGAAGAGAACACTCTAAATTACATATAATACAAGTCAAGAAAGGCATGTATAGAATACAGGCTTTGAAGAAAGCAATTTATCCTTTCTGGGTGGGAAAAATGCCTTGATTGGGTGACTTCTGGGGTCCCTTATTGGCTTGAGATTCCGAGTTCGACATTTGTCTCTGGTTCATAGGAAGCAGGCAGAGGCAGCCTGGTCCTTGGACACATCTACTCTTGCCCTTCCAGAGCTGGGTGTCGGGTTACACAGAGTAACACAGCCAGGGCACTTGACTTAGGGCCTCTGTCCTGACCAGCCTGCCCCGAGTCCAGTGGCGGACTGTCGTATGAGTCGCTCATGAAGCAAGACCCTGCTCTTTACACCCTGCCTTTAGGCTTTGCGACAGCATTAGCAGACAGTGCACAGGGCAGCCAGATGTGGAGAGCAGCGGATCCTCGCACAGTTTCCCAGCAGGGAGTGTTTCACCCACTTTGGTTGTTTCTAAAAGCAGACAACTTCTTTTTCTCTCTCTTTAACTGTTTCTTGTTTAAAAGTAATCAGGAAATGGCTATCCTCTCAGGTGAAGTTGTAAAGGAAGGAATTATCTTGGGGAATTTGAGGAGGAAAGAAAGACCATGTCTTGGCTTTCTGCATATTCTGGCTAAGACATTTTTTTGGCACTAGTTAAAAAGTTTATTAAAGCAACAACCTGAAGTTAGGGGAGGTGGGAGTTGGATCTGGGAGGAGTTGGAAGAGTTGGGGTGAACGATGAAATACATTGTACGCCATTCTCAAAAACTTAATAATACTGTATTAAAATACAACCCAATCTGACACATGGATTTGAGCTTCGAATTCCTCCTGCCCAGCCCTCTTGCAATCTGGAGTTTAGGGGAGTTGGGCGGTCTACTGGCCAGCATCCTGCACCAGCACACATCTGGCAGCAGATGGAGCCGGCTCAGGATTCTTTGTGTAGAATCTGTTGAACACACCTACCTCCTCTCCCGCTGTCTTCTGGGTAGGCACAGACTCGAAGCCAATATCCTTGTGAACTTGTCATCTAGGGAGATTGGAGGACCCAGGTCGTCTTGCCATCCTTTTAGATTTGAAAGTGATTAGGTATTTAGATGCCCAAGTATGGCTGAAAGCCATTAATGGTTGGGGCATCCCAGACCTGGAAGAACGGCTGTGCTAGCCTATCTGGTAGCTCGTGGGTGACCTTTGATGGCTCGGCTTGTTGCTCTCGTCGTAGGCTTTTTGGAGATACTGGCTGGGAGACTGACCTCTTTCCCCAGGTCTGGACCAGTGACTCCTTGCTGAGTGCCCAGGAATTGCAGCCAATGCCTTCTGGCTGACAAAGCAGGGTTGTCCCTGGTAAGTGTTTATGTTGCACTTCAGACCTGCAAAGTTCATTCTCTGAGTTCTTTCCTTCCTTGGTGTCACAGCTGAAGAGACGAAAGCCCACAGAGGTGGGGACTGACTGGCCAAGTCAGCTGGCAAGGGAGTGGCAAAGCCGAGGTGGGGTTTCTGGGTTATTTCTTACCCCAGTGGTTTCTGCAGCTCCTCTAGTAATGATGTTCGTCCCTTACCAAAATCTTTCTAAATGTAACTGGGTTCTTGCTAGAGCGAGCTGTAGATTTTTACCGGGTCAGGCTGCCATCCATTACTGGTGAGCAGGCAGCCTTAAGTAAGTAGGGGAACTTCATCTCAGGTGACCCCATTATAGAGGTTGCCCTAGGGCGGTGTGAGTATGGTGTGGAGTAGGAGGGAGTTGGACCTTCCTGGGTGAGTTGTTGGGGATGCTCTCTGCTCTTCCAAACTCTTAAAGGTTTGTGTACAGGAAGCAGACAAAGGGTTCTAGCAAAACCTTAGTCTCCTACTTGAAGAGGAGTGTTGAACAAATTGAACTAAAAGACTGTTTGATTTTTGCATCTAAAAGCTGGGAGGCTTTGGCTTCGTCTCCAGACTCTACTACTGACACAGGAACGTTATCTTGCCAGGAAGGGAGAGAGAGAGAGAGAGAGAGAGAGAGAGAGAGAGAGAGAGAGGAAAATATTGAAAACTTTTCCCATAGAAATGTTAGAGATCTTTCCTTCAGTATCCTATCTACTTCCCTTCACTGAGATTACAATTCTCTGTATGACTTAGTGTCTTTTTCAGTTAAATCACCTCCACAAAAAGTACAGATGTTGGGTGGAGACTGGTATCTGCATGCCTGTCTCTCTATGAATAGTCAAAAATAAAATCTCTCCTTTGCTTCCTCTTCCATCTGTACATTGAATCAAGAGGATGAGCGACTGTCTTTTGAATATCTGATAACCCTCCTTTCTAAACGTTCAAGCAGCCTTTTTGATATTGCTCAGTGTTCGTTGTGGAACTAACGATCCGGGCGAAACAGGAAGCATCTCTATGCTGGATAGGATGCTTGGAGTCACCCTCCACTCTCCCAGGGAACGCTCTTCAGCTGACTGAAGCAGGGAAGCCGAGCCAATCAGAGGCCGCTTTCCTAGCTCTGTCACCAGTCTGTGGTTGAGGAAGGCTTTTGCTTCTTATGCTCTGTATAAGGGGAGGCAGATAAAATGCCAGGTCTGGACTGCCTCTGGGGATAACCTCACCCTGTGGGATGTGAATGAATAGCATCTTGCCTGCTAAATTTCCAGGGATTGATAAGGCAAGGCGCAGTTTTCCCAAAGAGGCCTTTTTCTTTTTTAGCTCTGGCTGTGGTTTCTGCAGCAGATTTGTTTTTGCCTTAAAAGAGGTGCTGTGGATTGTCAGACCTCCATGTATGACAGTTTGTACCTGCATGGAGTTGAAGACTCGGAGGCTGTAAGTATTTCATAGATAGCCGGTTCCCTCTCTCCTCCTCTTCCTCCTCCCATTTCCCCCTCCTATTTCTCAGGCAACGCAGGAAACATGGAGCTGAAAGCCAACAGCATTGGGGTGCCTGCTGGCAGCTGTGTGTTCGCTGTGTAGTTTGCGGCTAACTGAGATTATTTATGGCAAGCAAGAGGGAAATTAACTTGCTAGCGAAGCCACCTACGAGAATAGGCTGTTGGGATTTCTGTGTGACCAGGGCCACGTTTGATTCACGAGGGGTAATGGCCCCTTGAAGACTGGTTTAAACTGTGCAGAAAGTGCTCCTTTTTTTCCCCCAGTCGCAGGATTCGCAGGAAAGACTCATTCATTATATAATAACACTGTTAAGCTGGTATGAATGGGAGGTCCTCAGCTGTGGCGGTCTCATTATGTGCTTACTGGCCCAACAAGCCGTTTCTGCTGCTTCTTTGTTAAGGAAATCAGATGCGAGGGTCGTGCACACAGTACTCCAGCGCAGAGGCGGTAGGTGGTGTCCCCATACTATGTCCTAGAAGACCGAAGTGAACTACATGTGTTTGGTCTTAGAAAACTGGACTGTTATTAGGCTGTTCCCCTGATAGTTCAGCCCCCTGCAATGTTTTCCAGTCAGGATGAAATGCTTTTCTGCAATCCCGAATTTGTAGCATAGTATGCTGTATGTACAATGTGCATAGAGGTTAAAACCCATGACTGGGTTCGTCTTTTTACTACTGCCGGTGGTAGCACCTGTTTTTGCACCGGTTACATCGAAACCTCGCAAGGAAGGATGCTCAGAGTTGGCCCATGGGACATGCTGTCGGGGGGTGGGGGGACGCTGAATTTTATATGAGTACAATGCCTTGCATGTTGCCACATTCCGAACAGGAACGTGTTATATAAGGTGCTCTGGCTAAATCACCCAATAAACAGATTTTAACAGAAAAAAAGAACCCTATGGCGTACGTCAGTGTAGACGTACGCATCACAGCTGCCGTCCACAACAGACAGCAACCCTCGGGTCTCACAGGGCTCTCCATTTCTCCTTCCTGTCTGTGTGAGCCCAAACTCTAACTCTAGTTTTCTTCTCCTGAAAACTCTCTCTGCATCTCGCCCAGCGTGCTTCAGAACGACCAGGTTGTCAGTGTATTGCAAGGGAGTGTAGTCTGTAACGTGGGGGCTGAAGCCAAGAAGGCTCACTCTTGCAGGTAGCGTTGAGAAATGCAAGAGGTAACTCCCGAGTTTAGCCCCCGGCTTCCCAGCCGGGTTCCTTGGGGCCTTTGCCAGTTCTTACGCCCTGTCCTCACACTCACCTATAAAACATGCGATGCCTTCTTGAGTTGTAAGTTTTTCCTTTTGATCATGATTTTGGACTCTGGGCAGTGTCGCTTTGAAGTGGATTGGAGTTTGTTTGCTCATCTGCCCGAAATGCTGTCAGAAGCCAGCTGCTGCGAGCAGCCGAGTCGCCTAGGAACTAATGTGTGCAGCTCCTTGTTCTCCAGAACTGTCTAAATTTCAGATGCACTGGGTCAGAGGGGAGCCATTTAAGTACAGAAATATTTGGTTGGCCTTTTGGTCCAGCCTCTCAGGACAGCTGGTTTTCCTGCAGGGTGGCTTGACTTGCGGCTGGAGCTGCTTGCTGGCGGGTAGTGCTCAGTACTGCAGTGCCGTGTTCCCAGTGACTCAGTGGTGGCCAGCAGGCTGAGCCTCCTGGGGACGGTGTGCATCTGTGGAAGGGGGACAGGTGGACAGGCTGAGGCGTGAAGGAAGGCCAGTTCTCACCTGAGAGTCCGGGAGGCCTTTTTGGGGTGGGATGAAAAACCAGGGCACATACATCAGAGGGGAATACGGAGATGTTCAGAGGACTGACCTGACCCTGGATGCTCATTCGAGTTTATTTGTTTTTATAAGGAAGAATAATGTGATGTGTTACCCAAGATGGTGTGAACAGAGCTTCAAGCCAATGGAGAAGACTAGGCCCAAATAGCTGAGCCGGTGGAGTGCCAGATAAAGCCACACCTGGAGTGCCACATCCTCGGCAGTCCCTCTCAGGGCCAATGCATTTATGGCTGTAAGTGTGGGGTTTGCCCAGATCAAAGCCGAGCTCGTGGACCGGTTCCGCTGGATAGGTATGGAAGGCTTCGCTCCTAGCAGCTGCCTCCTGAGGACTGACAGGCACTAAGAGCTCAAAAGGGCACTTCCTCTGGGGGGCTGGGGAGTCCCCACCCTTCTGTGCTACTGCAGATCCTTGTGGGGTGAATGGAGGGTTATTAGCATGTCAGACACGCTAATAGTCAGTGTGTTCATGCCGTGAGTCTGTAACAGAGCATCTCGCCCAGAGACGGATGTTTTACTCGAAGAATACAGAATCCATGTGCACTGCAAGCACATCTCAGTTTCAGGACCTGGAAGATTTTGGCCCTGTGGTGGGAGGTTTTTCTTAAGAGTCTGGCCCACAGGTGGAAATTATCTTTCTAGGGCCCTAGATGGAAGACTGTGGATTGGGTCTCTTATTGCACACAGAAGAAAGGATAGAGAAGCATGCTGGAACGTAGTTTAGTATGGACACATTGGATTCTTTAGTCCCGAGGAGCCTGTTTGGGCAAGTCGGTTAGCTTCTGCTCTGGATTCCAGGAAGGTAGTCAAGGGCCAGGATCATTCCCAGTGATAACAAACTACAAACAAAACAAGACAAAACAAAACAACAACAACAACAAAAATGAAAAACCCATTCAGTGGCCTCAGCGAGGTCTCTCATAAGAGTAGGAGATTTTGCATTGTCTATCACGTTACTTTATAATTTCGGTTTCTCTGAGGATGCATACCAGGCGAGGACTCCACCTCTGAGCTTTGCCCACAGCCCCATGTTACTTCGCCAGTCACTTTAACATGAACAATAGAGTTTGTCCTCGTGACGAGTCTGTGCTGACACTGGGCCTCTTACAGCAGCTCATGTATACAGGCTGTCATTGGCTTCTGTGTACGTGTGAGCCAGCACCCTACTTTTTCTGCTCCAGTGTCTATAATATAGGTACTGGTGGCTTATTATATAAACAATCAAAGTTTTTTTTTTTAATAGGAATGAATAAGCAGAATCAAAAAGCAGAAAGGTTACCTGAGATCCACTACTTTTCAGATAATCACTGCTTGACTGTGTCGTGCTGTTTTCGGCTGTCAGTGCCCGGCCGTGTCAATAGGTTGTTCCCAACGTGCTACTGTGTGTCACATCCTAGTCTGTTAAGTCTTGTCCTCACTGGACTAAATATCAAGCATGCTAACCCTGGAGCCAGCCAGTGCAGGCAGGGCTTTGCACAGCCACGTAGAATTCTGAATGCTCTTCAAGGAAGCATAGATTCTCAGAGTACTTTGCAAAGCGAGGCCAGGCTTAGCTGTACAGAGGAGCTGGTGTCTTAGGCCCAAGCTCTTCCATTTCTAGATGCTTCAGTTTGAAAGGAGATGGCTCGGTCATTTTCAGGGAGAAAGATGATCAGGCCTTAATTTAAAGCCTTTATTACAGAGGGACACAGTCTTAAGATATTCTCAGTCACACAAAGGAGATATAAAGTACTTATCAGTGTAAATAGAGTGATTACAGTGGTAAAAAATAAGGTAAAAAGGAAGTTGTACCAATTATGATGTATGTTATATTGAAATACATATATAAAACATGTATTTAAATCTATATGTACTATGCACTGTTCTAAGGGTAACAACATATTAATTTTTCAAACTATTTGTTTCCAATAAGCTGCATAACTCTGTCTGTTTGTCTAAATGTCGGTGCCCCCGCATGTGTGTGTATATTGTGCCATCTCATACATCACATTCAAACACACATGGCTGTGCTTCATGCTTTGCTGACTGATAGTTGATATTCAGTGGGATGCTTTTACCATAGAAATTCAGGAGAAGGAAGATTAACCACTATTGATGTGATGAAAGATACGCAAGACGGTTTAAAAGCCACAACTTCTATTACAGAAAGAAGGGTTGCTGTTTTCAAAGGTGCCGCGAAGTTGTTTTGTGTATGACGATATGTCCTTGTGCTTCTTAGGGATGAAGATAAACTTCAAACTGAGGGTTGATGGATTTAAGGGTCTTCAGGAAAATGTTCTAGAGACACTAAGGAGTGTATTTCTCTTGGAAACAACTGAACCAAAGGCCTCTGTTCTTTGGCGGCTCACCGAATCCCTTCTGGGGCAGGAAGTCTTCACAGTCCACTTCTAGAGTAGGAACCCTGGTTTGTAAATGAGTCAAGGGCTGGGTTTTGGCATCCCTAGCATTTGTGTGAGCGATCTGACCAAGGAATGCAGTCATTTCGCTCAGCTGAGCTATTGCGGTGGGAAGCCAGGGTCTGTGAAGTAAACAGTGAGTGAGCACAGCCTTTTCTTCAACCAAATTCCTATAAAGGATGGTTTCTAAAATATGTTTAGAAACGATTGCCACATTAAATTGTTGTGATGCTAAAAGAAAAATTCCTTAAATTTGACTAGAACCCGTGAATTTTCCCCTCCTGCTAGTTTCTTGTTAGTTTTCTACTTTGGGGTGGCAGGTGGAAGTATGTATATCAGCCATCACCCCTGTTCAGGTGCAGCTTTTATTTCTTTAGTTTATAACGAGTCATGGGAAATTATTTTTGCATTGTATGACTGAAGTGCCTGCAAGAACAGCTCAAGAAGTGGGTTTTGGCTCAAGGTTTTGGAGGGTTCTTGGCTTCATGTTCTTGGGTAGAATATCACCGTAGCAGCAATGTGTGGGAGAGGAACTTCTCCATCTCGTGGTAGATAAGAAGCAGAGAAAACAGGAAGACAGGAAGGGACCAGAATATAGCTTCTGTGACCTAGTTCCTCCAAGTAGGTCTAAATTTCTTCCGTTGAGCACTTTTTGATAAATGCTATAGAGTCATGGACCCATGACCCCATTAATAGATAAGAGGCGTCAGAATCCATCCACCTCCTCAAAGTCCGTCACCTGGCAAAGAAGCCCCTGGAGAGACATTTCATGTCCATAGCACGATTGAGTCAAGAGTTTTAGAATATAGTACCATGGCTCCAATTATATGTCCTCAGTAAATGCCACATCACCCTGTGGCAGACTTCTGTGTGATGCTCAGTCTGAAGCCAGCAGTAACTTGCACACCTGTCATAATGTGAGGGGACCACAGCTTCCCTCTGCAATTAGTCTTCCATTTCCATTGGATCTTATTTCTATGTTGATAGTCCTTGTCATTCTGGTCCCCATCTCTTCTTTAATATCCCTTCTCCAGGTAAGCAAGGCAAGAAGGAGGCATAGAGGAGGTGACTGCGCTGGTTATCCCTTTTCATCTTGTCTTGCCTCCCCCACTTGTCCTTTCAAATAGTAGTCAGTCGTGATTTCACTCACATATCAGTGGAGTTAAACTAAAAATTAGATCAGCAGACTCTACAGATCTCTATTCTGCTTAAGAAACAGGCAGACTTAAATGCTTTTTAATATGTTTGTATCAGCCATGGGGCTGTGAAAACAGGAATTTTTAACCAGCTGACTGAGAAAGGCCCCCTTTTACATGGGAAAATTTAACCAATTTTATAGGTATATAAATACATATAGATACACAATTTAAGAATTTACTGATAATTTATAAATAATTTATTTTCAAACAGTTTTTTTGGGCTGGCAAGATGCTTAGTTAACAAGCCTAATGATCTTAGTTCAATCCTCAGAAACGACATAAAGGTTGATTGAGAGAAATGGTGCCATAAAGTTGTCCTATGCCTGTCCCAAATGCCCACATATACATCATCATGATCATACAATGATAAACAAATTTCAGAACGTACTAAAACAATTCCTTTGGTATACCTATAATTTCACCATCCATTAAAGACTAAATCAAATTTCCATATTAGTTAGATGAATGCACTTGTTTAAATTTGTTCCAGTTCCTGTCTGTTTTGTGAACTCATACCATCTCTTGTCTTCTGGGTTGTTGAAGAAATTAAGTCAGACACGACTTGCCACAGTAATGTCTGTCAAAGTGACTGGCCATGCAATCTCCAGCACCGCTTCCATCAGGACACTCTTAACAAAGGCAGATCATTTTGCATTTTCATCCACCTTATTTTCTCACAATATTTCAATGTGTGTTTCAGCACAGCCAACTTAACCTTTCTCCTCTGCTTAAGTCTTCTTGAGAATGCTGTAAGACTTCTTCCTTTTCTTGGCACCACCATGAAGTCCCAACACAGGGTGAAAGGTAGACTCTTTTTGAATGTTGAAGTCAAAGTATGGCATCTTCCAGCTGCTTACCAGCAAGAAGCAGCCTGAGCCAATCAGGAGGAATTCCCTCTTTAACCTGGATCTTGGTTTTTACATTTTCTATTAGCCTCAAGGGTGATGGTCTTCCCCATAAGGGTCTTTACAAAAATCTGTATAACTGCAGACACTGGGTCAGAAAGCTGTTTACTTTCATACAAAGAATTAAGCCAGGCATGGTGGCACATGCCTTTAATCTCAGCACTCAGGAGAGAGAGGCAGATGAATATCTGTGAGTTCAAGGCCAGCCCTGTCTACATAGAAAGTTCCAGAACAGCCAAGTTCTCAAACAAATAATCAAATATGTACAAAAAAATAATCAAATAGATAAATAAGTAAATAAGGAAGGAAGGAAGGAAGCAAGCAAGCTAACAAACTAAGAGACTTTTTGGGTGCAGAGATGGTTCATTTGTTATAAGTACTGGCTGCTCTTTCAGAGGACCTGGGTTCAATTCCCAGCACTCATATGTTAGCTCACACCTGTCTTTAACTCCAGTTCTAGGGGATCTAATGTCTTCTTATGGCCTTTGCAGGACAAGACACTCATGTGTCTGTGCACTCATTTCTGTCATGTGCAGAATAATACACATAAGCAAAGCAATCATACATATAAAATAACTTACTAAACAATCAAATCTTAGGGGAATATTTGATACTACATGACAGAGTTGACCAGTATTTTGATTTCATAATTATCAATGCTGAGAATTCACTTCTCATAAACATATAGTATGATGCCATAAGTATATTCAGGACCATTTCAGAAATTATTGGAAA